AATGCCGTGATAAAAAAACAAGCTACGCCTCATCTTTCCACTCCCCCAAAACTGTTCACCGGATCAAAGCGGTTCGGATCACGTGAGGAGAAGAAACCTCTTTCGAAAATGGTGCCTCATTATGGCGGGGATTCCTGGGTCGATTCTTGGCAAGGATAGTAACCCGATACCTGCCCGTCATTGAACTTGGTCCGTGACACGGTTTACGCCAACTTCCTCCATCCGAAGTGTTCCCAAAGCTGCACAGGCTGACCTCAGAATGTCTCGTAAATTCAGACCGATCATGAATTTGGATACCCGATCGACGGGTTTGAGTCACGTGAAGCCTTACGTCGGGTACTTTACACGCCTCAATGCAGTCCGCTGCACCCGGGCGGTAAAGGGGGCGGGGGTTGTCCAGGGGGCGGGGCCGACGGCTGATCAACTTGCGTAATGTTTGGGATCTTATACAATTAACTGAATGCACAATTAACAGTTTTATTTGAGCGGCGATTGTCATTCATTGCAATTGCTTGAGCTTAACTTAAACTTTGTTTACCCGCTTGACAATGCAGTTTCAGATCCAAAGATACCGATGCACAGAGAAAATATATTTTTTTTGCTTAGTAATAATAATTTATATATCACACATTCTTATCCAAATAGTGTTTATTTGATTGATATATATATGGTTCACGGTTATTATGATAATGCTATAATTTCTAAATATAAATCATTAGATTCTTTATTAATCAGAATCAGTAACACTAAACAAAGAAAACCTCAAGTAAATAGAATATCAATGGTGTAAATAATTGTTATGTTTTTTATACCCGTTACTCGTAGAGTAAAAGGGTATATTGTATTCGTGCAAAAGTATGTAACAGCTAGAAGGAAGCGTTTCCGACCCTATAAAGTATATATATTCTTGATCAGGATCACCTCCTGAGTTGATATAGCCATGTCCGTCTGTCCGTCTGTCCGTCTGTCTGTCCGTCTGTCTGTCCGTCTGTCTGTCTGTCTGTCTGTCTGTCTGTCTGTCTGTCCGTATGAACGCTGAGATCTCGGAAACTATAAAAGCTGAAGATTGGCATTTTGCATGTAGATTTTGAAGTTCCTACGCAGCGCAAGTTTGTTTCAAAATGGTGCCACGCCCCTTTAACGCCCACAATCGCTTATATACGATTTTAAAATTTAAATATTTCGGAAAAGTAAAAATGCAGTTTTATTGTGTTTATCAATACCTATCGAAATGTGAAGAAATTTTTCAAATCGGACCATTCGTTAAAAGTTATGCGTGATCAGTTTCTATCTCCTCTCCTGCACTCCTTTACCTGAGTAACGGTATCTGATAGTCGGGGCCCCGACTATAGCGTTCTCTTGTTTTTGTTTGTTTTCTTTACAAATGAGGCTTTGCAAGCCAAGCAAAAACGGACAATCGGAAATCCATTTCGTGATGATTTTTCTCTCTGTACGAAAACAGTTAACCTACGTGTTGTCCATGTTTGATTGTGAGCCATAAGCAGTGCATACAAATGGACAAGCCTTTCCGGCATGTGACCCTCAAGGAGAGATGAGTTTCCCCTTATCATAATACCCGCACACCTTGAGATTTCTCCAACCAGATAGCTGCCGAAATCTGGCCATGCTCAAGGGCCGCCAAAATATATGTATAATCTCACCTTAAGTAGGCCGCCCACGCGCACAGTAGATTTATGATGCGGTCCAAAGACCCAAGAAGAGGCCTCAAGCGACGGAATCTTCTTGTTTTTCAAGATGTTAGAAGGGAAATCAACGGGGAGACAGCACAACGATAAACACCAAATTATCCGCACGCCAGCGAAATTAAAAGCAAATTAAATTTGCTCAAAATTATAATTGACTTGCTGGCGGGTTAGCTATGTACATTTAATTGTTGCCTAATGTGTTTACCCACCGTTCCCCTTCGGGGGCTTACGCTGCGTATGAGTAATGCAAATTGACCGCACGAGTGTTACATATCTAACTGCGACACATAATCGCCGCCCAATCACCTGAACAAGTCAGCGACCTATAAATATTCATAACGAATGCCGCGAAAGTATCCCAGCAATGTTGATCGGGCAGAGATCAATTGTTACACCAGATCGATATACAATTGTGGTCAAATCAATATCTCTAAAATATCTGTGTCATCAAAGTACGCTTTCTTTTCTATACAATATATAGGTTTGAATTTCAGCTTATATATTCTTTAATCCTGTAAAAATACTTTAAGTTCAATAGATCGCCATGACTGATGATTCATTAAGTATGACTTTCAGTAAATTTTTATATATTTCATCTTTAATTGACAAATTAAGTTCCATTTACATCTATTAATCAAAAACAATTTAAGCCAAATCATGGGTTACCCAATTTTTAATGTTATTGCTATTATGTGAATATTTTTCATCAGACTAGACTTAATGTCGGTGCGAAATGACGTTGCGAAATCTACTTACAAGGGAAAATAGATCACATATTATATAGAGGTTCAAAGTGATGATATAATTGTAAAAATACAAGCATTTGGTTTGAAATATGATACAAATATATTTTGTAAACATAGTAGTTGTACTATTATTTTCGCCTTAATTGTAAACGTTTAATTTTAAATTTCCAGGAGAAGGAAACACGAGGAGAATTTTCACACAGAAAGAGAAGCGTTTTGTTGTGAAATTCCAAGGAGAAGGGTAAGCATTCTTCGGCCTTCATAAAAAATTGATTTGATTTGCATTAGTCTGCTTGGATCATCATAGTTCGTAACTTATTCGTTTTTGATTCTGCGCCATCGATCAGCCGTTTGACGCGTGTTTGCCATTTGGGGAGAAGACTGTGCTTGGAAATGACTATTGAAGTGATTAATAGCAAATCGTACTTTGAGCCGCAATTTTGGAGGGCTCCCAGACTGACCCAGACAGACAGCAGATGGCATGCAGCCAGAGCGTGTCGTTGAGGAAAATCCCAATAAAAAATCCCCACCTTTGGATTCCCCAAGTTTGGGATTCTGCAGAAAAACTCTTTGCATGCAAATGGGGTCGATCAAATGCGGTCCAAACCAGAAGTGTCGCGGAGATAAAACCAGTCTGGTTTTTGTGGTGTTTTCTTATACATTTCTACGTCAAATCCAAATTACAGACGTAGTTGGTTGTATGATTTATGCGACCCACAGCTGACTGATAGGTTGACAGATTGACAGGGTAACCGGTTCAAAGTGATGCCAAAATAGTCAATATCTCAACTACTCAGGGCGGAGTGGCGCTCTCGAGTCCCGGCAAATTCCGGCCATTATCTTGGCCGTATACTTGATTTATGGAGCGCACTCTTCTAACTGATTTATATGCGCTGTGTACCAACGACTGATCGATTTCCCGTGTCGAAAAACGATAGCCGTCAGTAGCACGCGATTGTGGGGGGCCATAAAGATATAGGGGTTAAAAAGTTGGGCTACTTTTTGCTAAGTTTTGGGACTGTTGCGAGATTTGTACATCTACTAGAAATAAGTAAAATCACTTTGACAGGCGTTCATCCTCGACGAATGGTTCCATTTCATTAATATTCATTCGATTTGTTCATTACAATTGCTAAAAAGTCTGAGATATTTGCTAATCCCATGGGAAGATCAAAACAGATCAAGAAACCTTTTGGGACTGGCCTCCGTCGATTAACAAGAACTCCAGGGTGTGAAAATCCGATCAATTAGCATGCAATAAAATACTTTTCTGGAATTGTAATGTTGCATTAAATTGCGGTTCCCATGTTCGGTGCCTGCACGTGCGGAAAAATCACAACAAAGGTTGTTGATTTTCCAAAGACAAAAAACTAAACAAGGGAAGTTGACGTCGAAAATACCCTGTACATTAAAAATACACTCTTAAAAAATTAAAGTTATTAAACTTTCTAAGGATAGCAGGAAGAATTAGATTTTTCACGTTTCCAATAAAGCAATCATTAAAAGTATTATATTGACGGTGTGATTTATCTAAAAAATGTTATTTCCAATATCAAATATGAATCTTATATCGAAGGATTACTGCTTACTTAACAGCTACTATAAACATCGACAAACTGCCTTATTTATCTTGCTTTCATTGAAGCTTTGAATTCGTACGTAAAAAAAATTTAATACCCTGTATTTACGTGCAATAAAAGGTAATTGCTTAAGAAGCTTAATAGATATTGTTGATAATGAGATTATAGTGTAAAATAAGTGTACTTAGGTGTATATCTGTGATCGAAAATTTCCCTAATTGAGTTTTGGAATGTTGATCTTTTACATTTTCCACGAAAATATTAGAAGCAATCAAAGATAATTATTCTGAGAATGAACAAATTATAAATTATTATAAATGCTTGACATGGTATGAACAGCTTATAGTTACAATATATAGTTTATCTAGGTGGTTTCCCATAATAGGAAGCTTTCCCATAATGTTAAGTAATTTATTTATAAAGATTACTCATAATTATGTGTATTTATGGGGACTTTGCACACGATTTGCGATTAGTTTGGCTGTATTGACATCTGTACCCAAGCCCTACTCCCAATAGATGGATTCGCATTCTTATCTGTACCCATAAACCTCCCACAAACCTCCTGTCTTACATGCTGGGCCTGTCCCATGTTCCTCCCACTCGATGGCCAACCGATGGGCCTGCGTCATTTCCATTTCTTTGGGCGGTTACACGACTTGCCCGCCCAGATGAAAAGCCCCCGATCCAAAGTGGTGATCGTTGGAGAGCCGGTTTTGATCGAGAGCGGGAGAATTGGCTGCGAAGATTTCTCGGGTCTCGAGAGGAGAGTGGTGGAGAATTGGCTACGAAGATTTCTCGGGTCTCGAGAGGAGGGCGGTGGAGATAACATAACGAAAGCCGGCGGATAGTCTCGAATACGCTGCCAGCGATTCGCGAATATCGCGGCTACCCACGACGACGATGCCCATTTACTATATAATCGGTTCCCAGCAGGCGGGCGGTGTTAGTGCTGCTCTTTCTGCGGCTTCAAATCATTCCCCCAGTGGATGGCCACGCGATCGGTTCGGTGTTTGGTATCAGAGTATCGGTTTTCCCAGAGATTCAGTGTCAGTGTCGTTTCGAGTGAGAGTGTCATGAAGCCATAGAAACTAAGGAAGTCCCACAACTAAACGCAAAACCCACAAATACAGTTTTAATAATTAATCAATTGAAAATGAGCCAAAGAGGTGACAGCGGTCACACGAACAGTGGCTTCAATGGCGGCTCCGAGGTGTCCTTGGATATACCCACCAATACGTTGTACCACACCTCCCGGGATTGCATAGTTCAGGAGGAGCAGGGTCCAAATGAGAGCTGCCTGGAGGGAACCCAAAGCTGTTGCTCGAATCTCTGGTCCAATATCTTCAGGAAGAAAACGCTGTACAAGCGATTCCCCATTTTGGTCTGGCTGCCGCAGTACAAAAAGGATTATATATTCGGTGATATAGTGGCGGGCATATCCGTGGCCTTGACTGTGATTCCTCAGGCATTGGCCTATGCTGGAATAGCAGGATTGGATCTGCAGTATGGCCTGTATGCCTGCTTCCTGGGCTGCTTCATATACATATTCATTGGATCTAGCAAGGATGTGCCCATAGGACCTACGGCTATATCGGCGCTATTATCCTTCCAAATTGCCGGAGGCAGTTGGCAAGTGGCCACCTTGCTGACCTTTCTCACAGGACTCATTGAGATCCTGATGGGTGTTTTCCGGCTAGGATTCCTCATTGATTTTGTATCCGGACCTGTGGGAGCTGGATTTACGAGTGCCGTATCCTTGATCATCTTCAGCTCACAGATGAAGGATTTTTTGGGCATCAAAACCAGTGGAAATACCTTCCTGCAAGTGTGGATTAGTATTGTGAATGATATACACAACATCAGCTGGCCGGACTTTATCCTGGGTCTCATCTGCATAACTCTTTTGCTGAGTTTGAGAGCCCTAGCCAGTTTTAGTTTGGGTCCCAAGGAGGGAAAAACCGGGACCCAAAAACTGCTCACTGGCATTTTCTGGACCATTGGAACTGCCCGAAATGCGCTGTTGGTTTGCGGAACTGCTGGACTTGGTTACTGGTTGTTTGTGAACGGAAAGGAGAATCTTGTGAGGACAGTTGGGTTCGTGCCCAAGGGATTGCCCTCTTTCCAAGCACCACCCTTCCACATTGATGCTGTGATCAACGCGACCACTGGAGAGGTCCTGCAAGAGGCCCAGGGTTTCTGGGACATGGTCAGTACTTTGGGATCTGGACTCATTGTGGTCCCCCTGATTGCTCTTCTGGAAACTATGGCCGTTGTTCAGGCTTTCGGTGAGTTATTTTTCAATTTGTGGTTTATTAGGAAAGCACATTTTTTGATGACTGCGATCGTGATCTGGTTCTTCCCCAACAAGTTCAAGCATCTTTAAAATTCGAGTAGGAAATGAATCATCTGTAATTAGTTTTCATTAAAAGCTTGTTTTTAAAACAAACTGACGAAAACAACTTGTTTTTAGTTTGAACTCTCAGCGCTGGTAGTTCACGATTAGTGTCAACTTTTTAACGGCATGTGCCAACTTTGTTTATGTGTTGTCTAAAATTGATTACGAAATGGGTGGGATTTTAAAAGAAACTCAATTTATTAGTTTTTGGAGAATTCCCTAAAATTTGTGTGTGTTTTTTAATGTACATATTTAACTTAATCAATAACAGATCGGAATAATTCCATAAAAAGTCATTAGCAATCCTTAAATGCCAAGAAAATTAATAAAATACTTTCACAATTCACAATAGTGTACATAATAATTAAGATTGCGATTTCTAATTGAATTTGTTCGCAATTCAAAGTGTAGTCATGCCCTTTAGTTCCTTTATTCTTTTGGGGAAGAACAATTCATTAATTTTTCACTGATAAATTTGTATTTGTCTTGATTATAACTTCCTCGTCGCTTGTTTTTCCCCTTAGCTGATGGAAAACCCACGGATGCCACCCAGGAGCTGATTGCCTCCGGGGTCTGCAATGTGGCCAACTCCTTTGTCCAGGGCCTGAGGAGCAATGGAGGAATCGCCAGGGGAGCGATCCTTAATGCTAGTGGAGTGAGGACCCAGCTGTCCAACCTGTACACCAGTGTGATCGTGATCATCGCACTGCTCTATCTCACGCCCTGCTTTTATTACATTCCTAAGGCGGCACTGGCCTCTATTATTATTGCGGCGGTGATCTTCATGGTCCAGTACCGAGTGATCAAGCCCATGTGGCACAGTAAAAGTGAGTTAAAAATAGATAAATGTGTATAAAGAAGTTGGTTACTATGTGATTTTCCTGCCAACAGAAACCGATCTCATTCCCGGCCTGGGCGCCTTCTTTGCCTGTTTGGTTTTGCCCCTGCAACTGGGAATCCTCGTGGGGATCGGCATCAACGTGGTATTTATTCTTTATCAGGCTGCCAGGCCCAAGCTGCGCATCGAAACACTGGCGGTGAGTCATCAATCTTAATATGTTTAGAATTACTTCGGCATCTAAAAGTATGCTGTAGAACCTCACAAATGAGAATGTTAGTAAAGATACATTCTGCTGTCTATTTATTTTCTATGTGTTTTATTATTTTACTTGTGGATAGTTTTAAAACTACTTTGAAATCTTTTTATAAAAATAGATTAATAGAGAAATCTCTTTATAAATATATGTGGCTAATAATAATTTAATTTAGCTATGAAATATATATTAATAGAGTTTGGTAGAAAAAATCCATTCTGTGCATTGAACTTTGCTAAGCAACTTTATCATTAATTTAAGAGGATCCATTTCAATATCAATTATATTTTCAGCTGGCTCATATTTTGAAATTACTAAGAATTTTCATTTCCATTACAGACAACTACTGGCCTGAAGTACCTGATGCTAACCCCCGATCGCTGCCTGATCTTCCCCTCGATGGAGTTTGTTCGAAAGGTGATCAACAAGCAGGGTCAAAAGTCCACTCTGCCAGTGGTCATCGATTGCACCCACATTTATGGAGCGGATTTCACAGCCGCCAAGGTTATATCGACCATGGTCATGGACTTCAAGCTGCGTGAGCAGCCATTGTTCTTCTACAATCTGCAGCCTCGCGTGGCGCAGGTTTTCGAAGGACTCAGCAAGGATCTGGTGGTTATATACGACATCACCACTCTGCACGCGAAACTTTCGGAGAAGTCTACGATCTGAGGGATCCAAAGAAATCTGAGGGAGATCAACGCTGCAACCTCGTCATGCGATAGTCTTAATCTAATCTCGCCTTTAGTCTCTGTTTAGGCTTAAGCTCTATTTTAGTATTAGCTTTGGACGTTGGTTTGCCCGCCGAGGCCAGCGACTAAATTTCTGGGCAGCCCACGCTCATCGCCTTAGTTGAAGGTACCATTCCATGTGGCTAGCTCACCTTAGTTACCATTTAAGTTGCCGCAATCTTCCACTATCCGCAGATGTCTGCACAATATTTATTCGGCCTTAAGCAAATCGCTGTGAATTTCGTTGAGCGAAATATCTGCGTCCCACCCGCGTTTTTGCCGCTGTACATAGTATTATTTACGAATAGCGAACGAAGAGTTTTAGCATAAGTACTTAAATAAATCAAGTAAATATTAAATATCCAAGTGAGTTAAATAGTTTCATTCATGTGGTTAAGGGGTGAGCAATTACATCACATTCGCTTTCTTTTCATTTGTTTATGATTTATGATGGTTCGGTTACTTTTTACACTTTTTTAGTCAAAAAATTGGTTTTCATAACAAACTTAACAAATTTTTAAGGCCTGTTTATTGTGAAAATATAAACTAAAGAAAAACTTAGCTAAAATAATTTAAAGGAAAATAATGTTTGGTAAGTTGTTACCAATTCATTTATCATGTGGATTATTAAAAATTTATTGAAAGAAATTAAGGTGTTGCTATTTTTTGAATCCCTGATTGCCTACTCAGCTAGATTAAATATCTAATCAATTTGCCAAGATTTCGGGCTACCTTCAAACTTAAGACGTGTTGTGATTTTATTTGGCGCCTCACAAGAGCACTAAATCTTATGGCGCGAATGCATCATTTATAAAGGAATCACATTAAAGATAAGATTTGTCAAATGAAATCTTAAAATTTTAGCTCAATTTATAACTGTCCAAAATAAAGGCAGTTGGGGAATTACATTTTTTAAGAAATATTTCATTGATTAAAATTTATAAAATGTAGTTTGTTTTAACTGTTTGGCTGCTCGAAAATATTGATTTATTTTCTACTTTTTTGTTTTATTTATGAGAAAATATATTATATATTTTATTTTACTAATAAAAACGGTGTGGTTCAAACAGGGTTATCAAGATAATATGTATCTCAAAAATAATTATCCTGTTCAAGAACCATTACCGCTTACTTATCGATGAACTCAGGTTTCCATCCCTTGTTTGTCAAAACCTTTCCAGCACTGGTCAAAAATTGTTGTCTCATCCGAAAAGCTCAGTAAGCCAACCCGCATTTTTTCGTTTAAAAAATAAACAAAATTATATCAACAATTGAGGAATTTGTTGGGGAGGTTCAAGTCAATAAAGGTTCACCGATAAGAATCATTTTGGTTTTTTAAAAGGTATGTCTCTGACTGGAGGTGTTTGTAAACAGTTTCTTCATTAATAAAGTTTTAATATATTTAATTAATAATCCAGATGAACATAGACGTGGGAATCCCTGAGAATGATGAGAATGGTCCCGGTTTCCATTCGTACTTCACACAAAAAATATCTGAGCTGCAGTTCACTGTAACCGAGCGCCAGAAGAATTTGCTCCGTTTGCAGGCTCAAAGGAATGAACTTAACTCCAAAGGTAGGTCCACACCATTCATTTTAGATCCCTTTTGAGATCCTTTCATTAAACCCCTAGTTCGCTTGCTGCGTGAGGAATTGCAGTTGCTCCAAGATCAGGGAAGCTATATTGGTGAGGTTGTTAAGACCATGGATAAGAATAAAGTCCTGGTGAAGGTCCATCCCGAGGGAAAGTACGTGGTGGATGTGGACAAGGCCATCAACATCAAGGATGTGACCCCCAGTAGCCGAGTGGCCTTGCGAAATGAGAGCTACACTCTCCATAAAATACTTCCCAACAAAGTGGACCCATTGGTATCGCTTATGTTGGTGGAAAAGGTTCCGGATTCCACCTACGAAATGGTTGGTGGCCTGGACAAGCAAATCCAGGAGATTAAGGAGGTGATTGAGCTGCCCGTAAAGCACCCAGAACTATTTGATGCTCTGGGTATCGCCCAGCCAAAGGGAGTGCTACTTTACGGACCACCTGGCACTGGAAAAACCCTTTTAGCCCGCGCTGTAGCTCATCACACGGAGTGCACTTTTATCCGGGTTTCGGGCTCGGAGCTGGTCCAGAAATTCATCGGAGAGGGATCGCGGATGGTAAGGGAGCTCTTCGTGATGGCCAGAGAACATGCTCCCTCTATAATCTTCATGGATGAGATTGATTCGATCGGTTCATCGCGGTTGGAAACGGGAACTGGTGACTCAGAGGTTCAACGTACTATGCTGGAGCTGCTGAACCAACTGGACGGCTTTGAGGCCACCAAAAACATCAAGGTTATAATGGCCACCAATCGCATTGATGTTTTGGATCAGGCTCTACTGCGTCCGGGTCGTATTGACCGCAAAATCGAGTTTCCGCCGCCGAACGAAGAGGCAAGATTGGATATCCTGAAGATACATTCTCGCAAAATGAACCTCACAAGGGGCATAAATCTTCGCAGAATTGCTGAACTGATGCCTGGTGCTTCTGGAGCTGAAGTAAAGGGCGTTTGCACCGAGGCTGGGATGTATGCCTTGAGGGAAAGACGCGTTCATGTCACCCAGGAAGACTTTGAAATGGCCGTGTCAAAGGTGATGATGAAGGACTCCGAGAAGAATATGTCTATTAGAAAGTTCTGGAAGTAGTTTGGTCATATGGTCATAGTCAATAAATAATTTATCTTAAATTTAAATATTTATATCAGAAAAACTGTCAGTCCCATAAAGCTTACATTCCATTTTGTGGAAGTTAAGGCTGTTATTAAAAAATAATAATTATAAAAATACTATCCTAAATGCCTTCAATAACATTTGTTTTTCCCAAGTGAAAACAATATAATAATTTTTGCGATATGATATATAACTTAGCTAACTTTATTTAGTTCGTAGTGAGACTAACTTCTAGCCAGGGAAAGAGTGCTGGCCATGCTGACGCATTCACCAGCTCCGTTGCCGGACTCGGCATGATCAAGGGAGTCCACAGATCTCGAAAGGTCCGGTTCATCGGGTCGAAGTTCCTGGTTGAGGGCATGGGTGTTGTAACAGAGCACTAGCCTTGTGTTCAATCCCTCAAAAACGCTCACTACACTGGGCTTTAAGTTGAAGAATATAATCTTCTGCTGACGCCGACGAAAGTCGTCCACTATGGAGGATATAACTTTGGCGGCAGTGTAATCCGCTGCATAGATATATGTGCAATCGATGACCACTGGCAAAGTGGATTTGCTGCCCAGCTTGAGTACCATATTCCTCACAAATTCCACTGAAGGGAAGATCAGACATCTATCGGGTGTGATCTTTACGAATCGGATGCCCTGTTGGGTCTCCAATTGTTCGAGGGTCACCTTTGGCCTGGCTGCATAGTACAGGATAAAGAGTAGGTTCACTCCAATTGCCACCATGATTCCTATTTCCAAGGGCAACACCAAACAGGTTACAAAGGCCAGGATTCCAGGGACTAAATCGGAACCTTTGAAAAATAAAAGTCAGCTGAAGATTATGAACACCACTAAATAGGATTACGCTCACGTTTGCTGCGCCACATGGGGGTTACCACCTGGTATTGGACCTGGAAGATCACAGCCGATATAATAATCGCCGCCAGCACCGCCTTGGGAATAAACGCAAAGTAGTCGGTGAGGAAATTCAGGGCCAGTACCACAATAACTCCGATGTATAGATTTGACATATTGGTTCGGCAGCCACTGGCATTATTCACCGCCGATCGGGCCAGTCCACCATTGCATCGATATCCGGAGAAAATAGAGGTGGCTATGTTGCCGACACCGCAAGCAATCATTTCTTGAGTGATATCAATCTGTTTTCCCTTTGCGAAAGCCTTGCAAACTGACATGGTTTCCAGCAGGGCCATCAAAGGAACGATCAGGAGGCCATACCCCAAACTCTGCACCATTTCTAGGAAGTTTTGTCCTGGCACCGGGGGAATACCCGCTGTTTCATTTCCCGGCTGGGCTTCAATAGAGAACGGAGGAAGTGAGGGCGCAGGCATACCTTTGGGTATATTTCCGGTTAGTCGAAAAGGATTTGTTCCATTGGCATCCAAGTACATGGTGATCACCGTAAACACAATCACAATGGAGGCATTTCTCGAGGTAGATACGAATTTGATCACCTGATTAACAACCCGCTGAAATCCACTCCTCCTTGTCTCATCTTTCGGACCAATAGTTAACTTGCCAAAACTTCTCATGGCTAGAAGCAGGAAAACACATCCAAATCCCAAACAGGTGTCGGCAACCCTCACATTTTCGATATCCCGGAACATGCTAATCCAGGTGGCCAAAAAGGAACCACCATCGCTTTTAACACCCAACATAGATCGCATTTGGGAAGTGGACACAATCAGGGCCACGGCACTCGTAAATCCAGCACTAACTGGTCCAGATACGAACTCCACTAGACATCCAAGCTTAAAAATGGCCATCAGAACCTCAATGATGCCGGTGAGGAAGGTCAGGAGCACGGATCTCTGCCAGGAGCCTTGGGCGAACTGAAAAGTCATGAGGGAGGCCACCGCCGTGCTGCCAATCGTGCTGTCCTTGCAGGTGCCCAAAAGGACATAGACGAAGCAGCCCATGAAAGCTCCATAAAGCCCATACTGTGGATGAGATGTTCAAATCTAAATTTATTGAACTCGGAAAAAATTAATAAAAAAATATATATTCTAATGTTTTATTATATTTATATATGCAGTATCATCATATGAGTCAATTCAATATTCGGATATATTATTAGAAAATATTAATTGGTTTTTTACAAATACTTTTTGAAAATATCAAATGGTCTAAACACCAGACAGGGTTGACTCATATGATGATACTGTATAGGGCATCATATATGTTTTTCTATTACTTCCTCAATAACACAGCAAAGTAAGGCCAAAGACCCTTCTTATAGTATACAATCTTTTGACGTAATAAATACGGAACAAAAAAAATCCGCATTCCAGATGACTGAGAGTAATGAGGCATAAGCAAACATCAGTTTAATCATTAGTAGACTGAAACTCAAACACGACGGACAGAATGAGAATTTGCTCCTTCTGTCTGATATTCCTAACGGCCACCGAATTTTTACTAGTCAGTGGACGAAAACTCGGGCAGTATTTTAGTCCTAAACTAAAAGACTTTGGACCACTCACACCTATAGATAATTCTTATAAGGTAAATATCTTGATATATTTAATTATAAAACATCTATAGATTTGTTCTAATATAATAACTGGCTTATGTTTCTCAGGAACTCTATGCAGTTTTGGGAACTCCCATTCGACTTCCAGAGGTTTGTAAACACTCAATGCTGTGGAATATATTTCTCCATTGACATCTTTTATGATTCACATTACATATATTTTGTAACAAAACGTGATGATGATGCAATATACTTCCATTGAATAATTATTTAAATTGGTTTATAAAGCTAATATAATATAATATTTATATTAATAGGAAAAAATGCCCGAGATCAAGCGTTTTAAAAGAACAGGCTTAGGTGTAAGATTACCCGTTAATCACAGAGGCAATCCAATAACAAAAAGCCCGCCACCGATGCACACGACAACGAAAAAGGGTTGGTTTTGGAACCTATTTTCTTAACAAAGCCACACCAACGAAATAACTATTTGGTTTAATCACGAATTTTATTAATTTACCTTACTTCTGGGAAAAGATTAACCTATTGATTAGCCATGATTTTTTATAACTAATAAACAGTTTATATGGCGATTTGGCTGTTTTTAGATTTTTACTGGGTTTTTTATTTAGTAATTTGTATGTAATAGGAAATTGACGCCTGTTCATTGCTCTGATATATATATCCTGCATATATGGAGTTTTTTTTTAATCAAAAGAACACTTTATCACTGTTTTCAAAGATCTTATATATATGTATAAAATTTCTTTTGCAAAGACCTTCTTCACCTAAGGCGCACTTAAGATCAATGATCACTTCTATCTCATCTCAGTGCTTTTCCGCTGTCCCCAACTTGCTAATAAGCTGGATAAATATGAAATTATCTTGATTGGCCAATCAAAAGTGGTACACGCAACAAAATTCTTAAAAGATTCTTTTCACAAATGAATTGAAATATTAGTATCGGAATATCAGCAAATATTTAATGGTTAACTATTTTAGAGATACTCACCTCCGGCGGCAGACCGACCACGCCCGAGTAGGCCAATCCCTGGGGAATTACGGTCAGGCCCACGGTGAATCCGGCAATCAAATCGCCGATACAGTCTTTGGTGTTATAGTGCGGCAGCCAGGTGAGGAAGGGCAGTCGCCTCTTGAGGGTCTTCATCCGGAAGATATTCCGAGCGTATCGCGAGCAGCAGGATTCGGCATTTTCGGACTCCTTGGAGGCCTCCAACTGTTCCAAGCTCTTGCTCTTCGAAGTGCGATGATCGGTGATCAGAATAAAGTCCGTGGACGAGCTGTCGAATTGGGCCTCAAGACTCTGATTAACCTCCGCCTGTTTGCGGAAGGTCACCTCGTTCTCCAGCGTGGACATTCTGGACGAGATCTTTGCGTGAACTGATGGACCGAGCGACACGCCGCCGAAACCTGATGATCCAGGGGCTGCGTCACGCGCTCTTATCTCCGGAGGCTGTTTGCCCAGACCCCAACGCGTGTCGTGTGTGGGAGCGGGATACAGGTTGTATCTTTCAGTTATATCCACAGCGGTTCCATAAACCCTCCAAGTTGCTCTTGACAAAGATCACCTTAGCCCCCAATGCCTACGCCCCTTTTCTATGTTTATCTTGGAATTGTCAACTAGCCCAACTGGCACAACTGTCCCCTATTGATAATCGGAATTTTTCCATTAATCAAGCGCGATCTATGGAGAATCGGTCATCAAGTGTGCACTACTTGTTCACCGGGTAAATATTGATGTTCACAGTTATCCAGCTTTGATTAGAGCGTCAGCTTCTCGGGTTAAAAGACCGCTTTGCAATCGAAAGTGATGAGATACAGTGCAGTAAGTTGTTTTTTAGATGTCTGATATAATCTAACATCAAGTTGCTACTGTATACTATTTCCTTATCTAATAGAGCAATTAAAGATTATACCGCGGAAAGGAAGTAATACTATTATTAGCTGAAATTGTACTTGTTGATGAAAGCAATTTGTGTATTAGGGTTTTTTTTTCATTTAGTTCAGATTGTATATTTTAACAAAAGATTTAGCACAAGTCATATCTAGTATCCCATATCGATTATTAAAGTGACGAAAACCGACCCTTTAATTATTCTCCCAAGTAATTGGTAACAAACATTTGTTGAATATTTTTTGTAGTTTTTTTATTTAATTTTAATGTTTTTACATGATTTTTAAAAATTGTATTTTAAAAGCATTGCATTATGTCATATAAAGTAAGATATATCATTACATTATACAATTGTTTGTTTTTCATTTGTTTTGTGTGTTTAACCATAAGTTAAATTTATGTTTAAGCATTTTCATAATTCAATAGCAGTAAATTGTTTCAGAGACCATGGCTATATATGTATCATATATATATAGTGTATATAAGTATTATGTATGTGTTTGTATCATGTGTGTGTGCATGTGTGGATATAAACACGACTAAAACTAAAAATTGTGAAACATCGCCCCGTCTAGGGGCTAAAAAACAAAGGACAGAATGAAAGGTAAATAAAATAAAGTAAACAAAATGATCGACGCAAAAGGCGTGTGTGTAGCTGCAGCGTAAATGTGAAGATTTTGCTTAAGGAAAGAATTATTTTAGAGCTGCCAGATAGAAAGTTAATCCATCCTTGATCTGCCTGTGTGTGTGACAATGAACATTCGTCTAACTCGTAACAAACAAATGATTATGCTTATATATGGTGAACCGAACACAAACTCGAACCGAAGTCATCAATCTGAAGAACGCAACAAACACTTAACAAAACAATAAAACAATGCTCCGCGTGAGAACAACAACAAGTATGACAACACTATGTATAGGCTATAGCATTTTTGTTTCGGGGTAAAAATGTAGACTCCAATATCCCATTTCGATGAATCCTACTGCCAGACGCCAATGGTGTAGTTCCTGCTCAGATGTCCCATGCGACGCTGACGTCCAACTAGAAAATATACGTAAAACAGGATTAGAAATATTCTCGATTAACTTTATTTACCAAAGAAGCAACACCAAAAACTCTAAGGTATTTCGTTCAAGACGAAGCATGACGCACAACAGTTGAACACAGTTGACAGTGTCCACAAAAACGTTGCCGTTGTTTACTTAAGACTAACCTAAAGAGAGTCGCTAATCAGATCTCCTATTCCATAGATATTTACCATCCGAGTTAGGATCTATTTCTAGCCAATCTCGACTCGGGGTGCTAAAATTGACGCTTTTCTGCTGACGGGGTCACCAGGGGAGCTTAGGTGCTAACTTATGGTGCTTCAATAGATCTGGTGAAATCAAATAATTATTTCAAATAATGTCAACTTACAAGGTGGGTTAAATTGGACTACGCTACTCCCTAACTTATATGTTACTATATTGTTAATTACTAGGTCTAAATTGGAATAGAATGCAACCAATATTTAATATTATGCCAAAGCCCTTCCTATTCTTATAAATATTTTGTTGATCCGATTTCAAAAATAAAACCCCTGGCTTCCTAAAAAACTATTACGTTACCTTAGCTTTTGAAATGCATACTCTACTTATTTATATATATAGTAGCCATAAGATACTTTACGTACTTCATGTCACACATCATTCTTCGGTGTTAGTGCACAGCTGGTTGGTTGGATTGGTTTCGGGGAGAACAGAGGTCGGTTGGTGGGGAAGTTTGGATTAACATAGATCTGTTGTTCTTGTTGCCGTGGTTGCTCATGTTCTTGTTGTCGTTCTGGTTTGCTGGTGGTGTTGTTGGTTTGGTGATTTACTTTCTGGGTTTGCTTGTTAATTGGTAATCAAATCAAATCAAGAGTTGGACAAACAAACACACACACATATAGATGGCTTTCTGCTTGATTGTTGTTCTTGGGTGGTGGCATGTTGTTGTTGGTTGGTTGCTGCTATATATTTCGTTTTTGTCTTTTTATTTACGCTGGTTCAGGCGTTTCACACGTACTGGAAACACAGATACAGGACAACGAGAGTGTGTTTGTGCGTGGGCGGGGCGGAAGAGAAGAAACAAATAAATTGGCATTAGTCAAGTGGTGGCAACATAGTGTGAAAAATATAGAGAAAGGATTCAACAATTTAGTTTTCGGGTTAGTTTCGAACTTTAATCAATCAATATAAAACAGTCAGTCAAGTAGCAGGTACAACATTCAAGTTGGCCCAAGTTTTCTGGGCTTTTTTTCGGGCAAATGTCCTTAAGATTAACTTTCAATTAGGTGGAAGCTTTTGGGGTTATTATTCAGGGTTAATTGGTATTCTTTCGGCTGCAGATCAAACAACAATTACTTAGACAGGATTGTACCAACTTTTCATCTGTTTCACATATTCTGCGTCGTGTTTTTATATATTTGTAGATTTTTTATGGCTCTTCTTGTCGGTGGTGCTGCTTTTTTTTGCTGTTAGTTGGTGGTTCTTATTGAATCATAAAAGTGTCTCAAAACTATGTTTGTTATGGGTTTCTGCTACTATCGTTTTACTTTGATTCGGATCTGGGGGACTCACTTAGATCATACATCGCAGTTTAATTCCTATACGAAGAGAACTTTATTAGAGCCACAATATAAGCTCACTGCGAATATTTGTCTGATGTGTGAATCGTGTTCTGATTTGATCACATATAGCATGCAAATGGATTGGCTGGGAAAAACATGCAAAAACATTGGGTAAAAAGCAAAAACATGCAGTGTATGGTTGACTTAAGCAATAAACAAAATAATTTATTTAATGAGGCAACAATATAAACGGTAATTAAGATGCTGGATGCTAGTGTTCATGACTGATCAGTAGTACAGACACAAAAGAGGAAACTCCAGCTTCGATTATCCGATGCTGCGAATACCCTTGCAAATAATACCAGAAAAATTAATTAAAATGTTTTCTAAAACATTGTAGGGTATTTAAAATAATCAATAAACTTTGCACGACAAGAAACTCGGAAAAAAATTTAATTTTAAATAGAATTTTCGGTTGCATTTATGCTAACATAATTTCAGTAAATTGTCAGACAAACGGAGGAATTCCAGAGGATTTGGAGAATGTTCCAGGTATTTGCATGAAGGTAATTAAGTAAAAGAAATTATTTAAATATTTTTGTTGCAAGAGCATGAAAAGATCTTTGTTTAGTTTACAGTGATCAATCAATACTGCTATTGATTCACGTGAACAATTAGCCACGTGCATTTTGAAGGCTCTCTAATCTAAAAACCTGCGAAAGCTAGTTATAAGCTATATATCTGAAAGCTATATATAGCAGAATGCTGGTTGCTAGTGGGGGCTTTGGTTATTTGGCGTTTCTTGCAAGTTAGCAGAAGAAGTGGAAGGAGAATCCGTGTTCATAGATACCTGTGTTAAGCGTTAAAGAAAATTATACACGTGACGCCTAAACGATTTCTGCTGGGTTATAGAAGAGGCCTCGACATTGAACACAACTTATGGCACATGGGTATTAGGTTTACCCATGCCTCATGAGCCTGTTCGATCTGCGCTTTATCGATATATATGGTATATGTATTTAGTTTGATATTTCACTTCGTTTCTTTGGTTTCAGTTTGCTTTGCTTAGTTAAAGTCTCTAGAGTATATAGATATTTTTTTGGCAAGCTCTGGGGCTGCTTTATCTTTAGCTTAAACTTCTGCTCCTGCTTCCTTCTTCTTTATATATATTATATTATACACGTTCTTTCGTTGTTATGTGCTTGTTTTTCTTCGGTTCTTTGGGTTTAGATTACAAAACGCTTTAAAAATGGTTTAGTTGCTTGCTTTCTGGTCTGCTTATTGAATTCTTGTCGACTTTCTATGCAGATTATTGAAAAATCTGAACTGCAATCGCAACTCAAGATCTTTTCTTACTGAAAACGAGAAACAGAAAAAGGGGAAGAGAGAGAATAGAACACATAAACAAAAGGTGATAAAGACAGTTCACAAAAAAAGGGGAGAAATTATAATCATGAGTCGTTGACTGTCTCGAGAACTGAATTTCTGAATCGTTTTTGGCTGATATATCTGATTTCGTCTGTTTTTTGGGAGATAGAAAGACACAAAGATACAAAACACAGAGTGCTGCGATGAGTGTGTGTATGGGTGTGCTTGGGTGTGGGTTAATAGCACGCATCTGATCTGAGTGATATTGGATCGTGACTGGATTATATACACGGATCGATTTCAAATGGGAAAAGCGGCTGACAACGGCACATGGAAAACAGATATGAACAAAGAGGAGTTGTGCTGGAATCAGTTTCCGGTTTTTGCACAGTACAAAAATATCTCCAAAATTTGCCATCGACTCGCTAGTTTTTCGTATCAAAATTGCTCATATTAAAACTGGGCTTATTTAAGTTTTTACATTTCTATAAATGTAAACTAATTGACACAACATATTTTGTAACTACTATTATTTCAATAGAGCAATGTTGTTACGAAAAATCGACAATGGCAATAAGGATCTGATATTTCTCCGCGGGGTATTCATTGTGGGGTATGTACAAGTTCTTGGTCAGCAAGATCGATGGACTGCATCTAGAGTCCAGAGTGTTCGGGTGTGTGATTTTTGGCAACGACAACGACAACATCGAGGGGTTACGTAACCAATGAGACAGAAAAGGGAAAGGCGCGAGTGGATCGAATGACTGTCTGTACATGGCTCGAACTTGTGGTTGCTGTGGCTTGCTGTGGTATTCTGTGGCATTCAGTGGTTTTCTGTGGCTCCGGTGGTGCGGCTGCTGTGGCTTCTCGGCCTCTCACTCACGTGTGCGCTTGGTAGACACCCTCATCGTCGTAGTTTGGTGTCACGGACCGACTGCCCGGCACGACCATGTTGTCGGGATCAAACTCCGGATCGAAGGCATCGCCGCCGCCCCGGATAACCATATTATCCGGATCCACTTCCACATCATAATCGACTGGAGGCTGCGGCGAAGGCGACGGAGAGGGCGTGGCCGATCGGTTATAGGAAACCAGATCCCGCTCAATCTCCATGTTGCCGGGGAGGATCAACTTCGGCAGATTGGGCTTGAGTTTCTGAACGCGGAAGACTGTCGAGGTGTCGAGTTGATTGATTGTCGATTTTTTGGTGTTTTAAGTTTGAGAGTGGCGTTGCAAATTTACAACAGACAAGTGGATAATTTGTTAATGTTCTTCTTGGCGCAGAAACTTTTACAGTCTATGGTAATTACAAGAAACGGGAGTCGAGAGAGAAACGAGGGGAAGGCACAGAATATTACAAAGGTGGATCGATCTCTCCTAAGAGATCCTTTCTCTATTCTAAAAGGGTAACACATGGGTTAGCATTGAGTGGACATGGAAGAATGATATACGTACTGAACCCATTAACCATAATTAATGTATGAATTTAAAATGTAGTAAATAATAGCACAAAATGAGAAGGAATTTAAATAAGATTTAATTTAATTTCAATAAACATTATTAAAACATACTACTACAAATAAAAAATGCCGTAAATATCCTAACATGAATTGTGAATGTGATCTATAATTAAAATATGTTCGTTCAATAATCTCATTTGCTAGATATTCTCTTTAAAGATTCCCTAAAATATTAGAAGTTAAGATTTGTTTATTTTATGAAATTTCTTTCTTTAGTGCTACTATTTGGCCTATATAACAACCATCTTAATACGAATTAAAAAAATATCTTATGAGATGCCCAACCCGAAACGATAACCAGTGAACGATAACGACAGGTGAAAACGAACGATAACGTGATAACGAAACGTGAACGATAACGATAACGCAACGAAGGCTGGTGAGACGATGTGAGAATGTGGCACGATGGGGTTAAAACTGAACTGGGTAGATCTGGAGTGACGATGAGGCTGATGAAGGCCGAGAACGGATTACCTGGTTACCAGACACAAGATAAATAGATAGAGAAAGTGAGTGAAGAGGGGGCTGGGGAAGACGCAACAAGAACGTAGAGCTCGGTTACCAAATGCGGCCCTCAAATCTTCTTCTCAGCTCCATTCCCGGACGTGGATGCGGTTGCAGTTGCCTCCGCCTGAAGATTACGTACTAAACGCCCTGCAGATGGCAAGTTATGGGTTTCAGTATCTGCCGGATCAGTCCAGGTGCGCGCCTTGATGAACTGCTCGAAGGCAGCCAGGCTCTTCAGCCTCGTGGGCGAGATATCCTTGGCCGCCTCGGCAGAATGGTCAGGATGTATTGGCGATTGATTGCTAGATGATGGCTGTGACGATGGCGAAGCAGTGGTGGTGGTGGTCATGATGATGCTGGCTAACATACCTTGTTGCAATTCACCTAAACGCGCGAGTGAGGCAACTCAGTCAATAAGAAATACCTAATCCTAACGAGGGGAGGAGGAGTGGAACGACGAGTGTAACCAACGCTGATCGCCTGCAGATCGCTGGGAGTGGAAGAAACCGGCGGGTCGGGCTGTCAATCCCAGGGGTCAACTTACTTCTGTCGATGTTGCGCTGCAGGTGAGCGGCCACTCGGTGGCGGGCGTCGTTGAACTCCAGGTGCAATCCGAGGCGCAGCAGCGACGAGTTCTTCTCCACCAGGTCGGTGATCTCCATCTCGATCTTGTTGCCCAGCACCGCAGATCGCTGGTGGAAAATGAAATTAAGGAGTTAGGTGAGCCTATAACTGTGTAATGCCATTTGCTGAACTGAACTTTAATACATATTTTATGGTATTACAAAATTTTAAACAATTTTATGAAAACTAATCTCTTTAGACAATGTAATGAGCAGTAATTATTTAAACTTTAAATTTTAAAGCCACCATAATCGTAAATCCAAATTAAATAAATCATTATCTCATATTTTATATAGGTAAGCTGTGGCATTGAATACTTTTTTAATGACCCGTACAATCTCTATTAGTCACGCTCCAGCTAAGGGCAATACATTATGGGGCAACCCAAGAGCCCACTTACCTGATTGGAGGCCCTGAACTCCTCGATGGTGTGGCACTTGAGCAGGGCTTGCACCAACTTAACGATCACGGGCGGACTGATAAAGTTGGTCTCGACGTTTAATACTCTCAGGGTTTTGCTCTTCTCGATGGCCTCGGCTAAAAGGAGGGCTGTCTTGTCGGTGAGGCCGACATTTGTCAGCGAGAGGACTTCCAGATGTTCGTTCTGAGGCAGTGCGGCAAACAGTTGCTCGAGCTTCTCGTCCGAGATGTTCTAAATAAGTTATTGAGTTAGTGAGAATACAGCTAACTAGTTTAAATCCAAAGCAAAACCTTAATGTTGTTCAAGTTGAGGTCAATCAGCTTGGAGTCATCGTCCTTGACTCGCTTGATGGACTCCTCCACGTCTGTGCTGTTTGGCGGATCCATGGGGAAGAGCTTCTGCTGGGTGGACTTTGTGATGCCATCCCAGCCTAGGCCAACGGGCTGTCCCTTGTTGAGCAGCGAGGCGTGGTACTGGTCCTGGTTCATCATCGAGTGGAAGCCCAGGATGGCGGCCAGATCAATGATCTCCTCCTGCGTGGCATCGTTCAGGGCGTGCTCGTACTCCTCGCCCATGTCGATGGCGATCTGTTCCTCGGCCTCGATTTCGCGAGCATCCCTTGGCGGTGGGACCCACTTCTTTCCGCGCACTGTGCCCTGGACATAGGGCTCGAATTCCGGCTGATCGGGCGTCTCGATCGCCTGCTTATTGATGTGTTCGATCAGCTGCTTGCGATTAAGTGGCCCGGTGGCTTCCTTGGTGCACTCGTAGCTGTTGCGCTGGTCTGGCGGCAGGAAGTTGTCCTGGGAAAATTAATATAAAGGATTATTAAGCTACTGATTTTTCATAGTTTTTCAATAGGATACTTACATCGGGATCCACTTCTTTGGCCAGTATTGTTATCTCTTCGGGCGAGAGCTGGGCCAGCAGGCTCTCCACATCCACATCATCGTACTCACTCAGGTCCTTGCCATAAAGTTTGGCAGGGGTGGTGAGCGTGGTTGTCTTTGTGGTGGCTGAAGTCTGCAAGGGAAAACACAACATTTTAATTCACGTTTAAAATACACATTTAAGCAGCCATAAATAAAACAAGGAAACAAGGATAATGTATTTTACTATGATTTTGATAAATTTCGTATCTTCTTTAGCAATAGCGTTTTTTAAATTTTCATCAGTTATTGTGAAACACTAGGTGCCGTTTTCAAAACATGATTTTACATAAAATTTAACTAGATCTTTACAAAAATCTATTTACACTTTGACTTATTAGAGATCTATAGTAAAGTAATCCAAGCCATTTTTTAATTGTTTAATATAAGCTATGAAATCACAATAGATTTGATTTCCTACAAGTTGCAAGTATTTTTTCCCAAGAAAAACTTCACATGTGAGGATCAGTTAAGATTGCACCTTAATCGCAGGGCAATCTTCCCATGCTTTTGCTCTCCTTTTCCTTCGAGTAAAAGCCATTGTTTTCACTTTTGCACCGTTCACTTTTCAGTACCATGCTTTCCGTATGAGATCGAAAGTTCAGGGGTTTACGAGGTCTGATAAATTGCGGTTTCTAAGATACTTAAAGCTACTTTTCGCACATTCTTCTGCTTGAGGCGTAGGCTCACAGGTGGCTGCGGGGCGCGGCGCTTGACTTTTGGCACCGGACGCAGCTTTATCTGCTGGAACTCGGCCACCACCGGCAGGGCACTCTCCATTACGGGTGCTCCGATTCACAACCGCCAATCGATACGAAATATGAAGCGCGGAATATGGCAAATCCAATTATGAATGCACCGAGGCGACTTGCATCAGCTTTAAGCCGGAGACTTTTGCGACTTGGGACTGGGTCTGCGTTCCACCACCGACTGAATGGCAAGAGAGACCCACCGAAACGCCAGACCACCGCACCACCAGACCACCGAATTAAGGCGAGACAACGGCAACCACATCGAAAGCAGCAGAAGCGAGAGTCGTGCAACATTTGCTCGAGCCAGGCCAACGACAAGCTGCAATCGCTCAACCAGCCACTCAGTCATTCAGTCAGTTAGTCAGTGAGTCAGGCGTTCAGTTCAGGCCAAGTTAAGTCGAGTCACTCAGCCAGTCGGCCCGTGGAGTTGCCAATGTAAATTAGGCACACTTACAAAAATGAAAGCAATGAAAAACATAATTTATATCAGGTACAATTAAATATTTTTCACAATTCAAACTTTTTCTTTTTAATCTATTAGATTGATTTAGATCATATAATTTGTAATCAAATAAAGTATTCCCCAAACGTTGGCTAACTTTTATTTATATTATTATTGTCCAAATTTTAAAATAATAATAAATCAATAAACCTCTAAATAAATTTATACGGTTCCACCTATTGTCCGTTTTTATTTTACCTATAATCGCAAATATCATTAAAAGGCTTTAACTGAATTTCCATAGACTAACTTTTTTCAACAAATATATATTTTTTTACAGTGCAGCCGGCGGGGGACAGAGGCAGCCAACTGTGGCATGACTTCTCCGCGGTGGTGTCTGCACTTAAACGACTTCTCAGTGGGAAATTGTTGTGCAACTCTGCCAGATTTCAAATAAATAAGTCAACAAATTGTGGCCCATAAACAAGCCGAGCGGAAGTCGTCGAAAAGCCACGAAATCGACATTATACATGGAGGGAAAACAGTCAAATAGATTTACATAAAGCAATTGTAAGACTCGAAACTTGAAGGGCTGAATAGATGTTCTACCAAAGCGTGACCGAGAAGAAGGAGTATTTAGTGCAGGCAAATCAAGAGCCGATTGAAAACTGGTTTCTACCGGAGGGCAGAAGAGTGCCAAGGAACCGCGACGGACAATGGCCATAAAACCGGGGCTTAAACTGCTCTTTGCCCGGCCATTTACTTAGTGCTTTTAACAGGAAACCGGTTTCGGCCACAATAGGTACAGCTAAGCTATCATCTCGACCAGCAAGTACTAGCAAAACAAACCCACAAATGGCCAAGTTTGGCTGCGCAGATGGCGCTCCCAGATATTGTACGTGTATCTGATAGATACAGCTACCCAGCTAAATGCCAGCCACTGACCCACTTCCGAGTGGTGCTCCTCTCATCTGCGATTCTTCAGCGGGGGCGGGCAACCACAGGGTGCGATTATGTCAGTCTCTAACGCTTTAAGTTGGAGTCAATTGTTGACATTTCAATTGGGGGCAGCTTGATTCATCGCCCAGCAGAACAAACACCCTCAATGACACAGCAGCGCAAAAAGTCCACTCCACTCCACACAACTCGAACCCAATCCAATCGAGCTGGAAGGCCTCTGGAGGTGGACCAACTGTAAACTGTAGAATCATAAAAAGTAATTGCAAAAATAATTGAGTTCACGGCACTCCGGAGACACACCGAAACGCTAGAGAGCTAAGCAAATAAATTCAAGCCAAAACAAGAAATTAAATACATATTTTAGATAGTCGAAGTGTGGAGTACACTTAGTTCAAGCTAAATTTGTGATCCAGGGTAGCAGAGAATATATTATTTTGTCTCAAAATAGCATTCAATTTAAACTATTTCACAATATGTTTCAAAAATGAATATTAATTCTTAGTTTTTAATTTAATTTCTTTTTTGAAATCTTACAAAAATATTGGTGAAAACCAAAATTCAAAATACGGTTTTGGTTGTTCCCTGATCTAATATTCTCCTCCTGAAAAAGAGTGCACTAAAGGAGACCTGTTCTTCATACCAAAGACGGCCCACCATGCAAATCCGCACAGTAAACAAGACGAGAACGTGCCGCCAGCCGAAATGTATCTGTCAGATACGAATAGTCAACACATTAAACTCTCAAAACTGTTAACTGGCGTGCATCTGTTAGACGCTTGAGGTCTGAGCCAATTAGAAGTTGCGATTCGCATAAACTGTAAGTCTCGAGATCCGATGTAATGGAGTGGCAGGCTCATTAATTGCAACGGGCTTTTGGAACGGTAGTTCGAAATAAACTAACTTACGAGTAGCTCCTCAGATTCTACGCCCACCGCCTTCAGTTTACTGTCATCTGATTTTATGCAATTACAAAGCAAGTGCTTGTCAAGAGATAAGGTTGAATGAAAGGCCTTATTTAATGGGAAGCAGCTTCTTTGCTTTGGCAATGGTCTAAAGGTTGCGTCAAAAACAGATGCATTATATTGCAGATGCTTTAGAAGTACCTCTTCAAGTTCCTTATTAAAGCAAAAAGAGCGTAGTAAAATAAAATCAAGCTTTAATCAGCTTAAATCTTAAAGCCAAACTATATTTGTAGAAATTAATAACAACGATTGCTAAACTAATAAACTAAATAATGTTATTCACTAAATCAATTGGCTTTAAGACTTAGCCATAAAATATACATTTTATTATTCATATTTGCCTGTTTAGAGATGTTTATAAGTTATTGCCATATTTTAAAGATTTAATTATCTAAATTTTAGTTAGTTAACCCAAACTTTGTACTGTTGCTAACTTTTTTTGTGGCATTAAAATCTGTTTGGCTTCAATTTAAAATATTGATGTATTTTTTTTTTTTTTACTATGGAAATTAAAGGTTTTAGGATATAGGCGATGCAGTTAGAAATGAGAAATAGATAAAAGTAATAATATAATATATTTTGTGTGGTAGATAAATTAATTTTGTTAAGTGTATATATATGTATGTTTTATAGTTAAAGTATTAACGGTTATTATAGTTAGATTAAATATTTAATGTAAGAGATAGTTGTAATTATTAGGAAGTTGGAATATAATCCGTAATAAGTTTATAGATAAAGTTGTAGATCTTTGTTATAGTGTATTAATTAGTTAAGTAGATGGTAATAAGGTTATGTAGCGTAAGAAATAATAAGTTCTTTGATTATCGTTTATGAATAAAGAGAAATAATATGTAATGAAGTTTTGTAAATAATATTTGATTTAATAAATCAGTAACTTTTATTATAAAGTAATATGGTAAACTTAAGTTTGGTCAGGGTAAAGGTATAAGGAACGGTACGTCATATTGTTAAAATGTATTATTGTAGGTTTTAAATAAAGATTTAAAAATGTTAAAGGTTTGTAGAGTTAATGTAAAATGTTATATTGGGATAACTTAGATTGAAGAAGATTGTAATAGGAAATTTATAAATAAGTAAAAAGGGCCGGGGCAGTGTAAATAATAAGATGTAAAGACTCGTTAGCCTTCGATAACTTGATCATGTAAAAAATAAAAGTAGTTATAAGGGTTTTAATAAATTTTAAAGTGTGTAATCGGTGATGTAAAGATTTATTAAAAGTTGTCGGTTGAGTTTAAACAGATGAGTATATGATTAAAAGATGTGATGTGTTGTTTAAGATATAATTTATATGTTGTAATACTGTATTGATTTATTATAGGATAAAACTTTAGTGGGAATAGATGTTTTAAGAAAGGTAAAAATGAAGAGGTCACAGAGCAGGTACCGGAGCCTAACCGTCGACCGGTGAATAGTTTATGAAATAAGAAGAACACAAAAGTGATTGTATGGATTTAATAAAATTAGAAAATATGTTGTTGGAAACTGGAAAGATGGATTGCTGATAATTTGGTAGTTGATATAGTATGGGGGTGGTTATTTTTATAAGATAAAAGTTTATTTGTTATATTATTAATTTATTTTTTTATTATTTATTGTAATAAAAGTTTGCTTGGCTATTTCTCTTGAAATACAATATAAGTTGAAATTCACTTCATAAAGGCTATTAATTTGTCTTGCTGTTTAATTATAATACATTCTATACATTTTTCTCCACGATTAATTATGATTTAAAGCAATAAATTTCAGGTACCAGCTTTCGGACTAGGTACAAATTATAAAATTCTACTCCAACAATAAAATACCGCTAAAACCCAAACGCAAACAGGAATAAATCCGGCTTAAGGCTATACAACAACGGCTCCTGGCCATGTGTGACCCACAAAATTGAGCCCGTGAGCTGCGGGGCGAAATGTGAAACATGTTTTTCGGTGATTTGCACAAATGTATCTTGTATCTGACGGATGGGCGGTAGTCAGTGGTCACTGAATGCGAAATCGGTCAAGGTGCTTAGGCGATTTAATTAAGCGGCAAACAACAACACAGTTTTCCAGCAGCGACAAACGGCAATGGTCACGTTTACGGCGAAAAATTTCACATTGCCCGCGGAGCGGAAAAACTGTGGAAAATCAACAGAAGCGCTCGCATACAAAAGTACATGAAAAGTTGGTCGGACACGTCCCAAAAGCAGGTAGGAAAATGGACCCGGCTAATGACCAACTGGTGGAAATTCGCGTAGGAAGCGAGGGAAACAGGCAGGGAAATTGCAGTTCGCGAGCAGGAAATTTCGAGCAAGAAACGTTAATTACATTTGCGACCAGGCTCGCTTTTATGGCCATCCGAATCCGACAATTAGTCGCGTGGAAAACCAGAAACCGAAGGTGAAAAGATGCGTCCGATGAAAATGAGCGTCGAGTGTCGAGTGAAAATGCGTGTCTGGGGAAAATAGATATCTTGGATAGGGAAAAGTAGCAAACGCACTTGCATTTAGTTATCGCAATTGCACTTTAATAAATTGACGATAGTTTAAAATATGTTTGCCTCTTTAATAACTAAAAAATGTTTGTAGACTTTTTGTTTGTGTATACCTTATTGTCTTTGGTAATACCCTAAGCACTTAATTTGTAAATAAATAAATAGCATAATAAAGGTCTAAGTAAGTTGTTGAATCTTGAAACTATAAATTTGCCGAACAATAATTCATTATTTAATATAAGCCCATTTATTTTAGTATGGCATAATTTTACTACAATACCCAACTAAAATGACCACATTGAAACCTGTTTTTCCAATGGCACTTCCCAACCACAATGCATTTCCTTAGCCGTTGATAGATTGTCAGCTTTGTAAGCCACATAACTTTATTCCCATACGTTTTATTTCTTTAGGGTGAAAAATGTTTTATTGCATTTTCCTGGCGGTCCCCAAGGTGCCTGCATAAATGTGAAATATGCCCAGGCACTTTGGCAGCCTGGTAAGATGGAAAAGAAGTTTTTCCTTCTAAGCCAATTCCCAGTGCCAGTCAATTGCATATTCAGTGAACACGAATATGCTTTTTATATGGCAATATTTTATGCAATTTGCATGCCACCAGCAGTCAGTGGAAAACGAGAAGGGGAATTGGGGGTGTGGATAGGGAGGTCGACCTCCTGAAAGTTGAGACCTCAGTTGGTCAGTGCGAAAGGGAATCGGGAGTCTGGTCGAGCTATATATTCTGGTTCTGCCTTCGGTCAGGCGTTTCAACTGCTGAAAACTGAGACGTCGATAGTTCCGTCTCAATGCACTTGCATTTAAAACAAGTGAACTTGGCAAAAACTTTAGATAATCGAATGCGTTATACTCCGGAATTTGAAATTATGTGCAGAACTCATAACTTTGTAAGATTTCTTCATCTACAAAATCTAATCTAATCTACTAATTCATGGAAAAATCGTTATTATTTCATCAGAACCCAATATACCCAAATGCTCTTTATAGCCAGGGTATAGACTAAGTCTGCCGCATCGCTGCAACCAGAAATCTCCGATATCAAAGCGGTTAAGAGGGGAACAAAGCAAAGACGAGGAAGCACTGGGGTGCTGGCAGAAACTGACAGTTGGCATGGCCATAGAAAACATAGAAAACTTGGCTGCAGTGCAGGCAACTTTCCCGATCTAAATTGAATCCGCACATAATGCAC